CCCAAATATGACTGACTGGTCATATTCACGTAACTACATCTTTATGTATTGTAGACTGCTAGTGCAGACTTTCTCCATGCAAAAGTTAAAATAGCCCGGGTTAGCAGGCTGGGCAGCTACAACATATGCACCAAATTAAAACGTGTCTTCTAATTTGGCTGAATGTATTTCAGTATCTGTTGTCCCCCAGCCTCTTTTGTTTTATAAAATATATTAATCAAGGCTTTGTATTCTGCTTATAGTGTTAGATGAACACCATAATCGGAATTTTCCTTTGTTCCCCACCACACCTTTGTGTCTGCAAGAACACTTACTGTGATTCACAGGTGTGTTGCCTAAAACAGCCTAACTTACTTTATTATTATTACTCTGCAGTGGGAGCTGGCGAAGTAGCTAACTTTGCTGCCTATGCTTTTGCACCAGCTACGTTAGTGACTCCTTTAGGAGCTCTCAGTGTTCTTGTAAGGTAAGAAACTTAATAGAAGGCAGTGTGATTTCAAAGAGGAAAGAAAATACTTGTTTAGGAATGTATGTATGTATGTATGTCGCTGAATAGATATGGTTTGTTCTTCTTTGTGAATAAAGAATGCTTATGAACATGAGGAGTACCTTTGAATCTCTCCAAATGTGAAGTGAGATGATGCTCTAAAATGGTTCAGTGCATCTCTACCTCAACTTGTGAAAACACATCGTCTTCTGCATTTCAAAAACATGTTGTATTACAGAAGGATAATATTTTCATTCCTAATTAAAGTTAAGGTTTTGTCTTTTAAAGTTCATTTTTAAGAGTGCCTAGATACATACAGTGTGTAATATTTTCCAAAGGAGTATTTGAGGAGGTAGCATAAGAAAAGGTTTCTTGGGGAGGTGCCAGATATTAACAGATAGTTCTGTCCACAGCAAGTATCTTAAGGCAGAAGATCAATCGTGTAGTTATTTTAATTATACGCTTAATCAATCAGTGGGTTTACTCAAACAGAGTTGGAGACATTAATAATCTTCCAGCTCCCTAAAAGCTGCGCATGGGAGTAAACAAGTGATCTGTGCAGTCAAAATAACCTGCAAGATAATAAGAAAATTAATGAAATATTGCTAATTCCATGCTTGATAATTTTTTTTTTTTCCTTAGTGCCATTCTGTCATCCTACTTCTTAAATGAAAAGCTTAATCTACATGGAAAAATAGGGTGTTTGCTAAGTATCCTTGGATCAACCGTGATGGTGATTCACGCTCCACAAGAAGAGGAAGTGGAAACTTTGAATGAAATGTCCCACAAATTAGGTGATCCAGGTAAGAAATGTTGGTTTGGTCTCTAAGTGGCTAATACAGGAAGACCTGTATACTTGATTGAACGGCCCATAATTTCTCTCTTATAGTTGCATTACTGCTGCTTTCAAGTTTCAGGAAGTCCATGTCCCCTTTATTTTGTCAAATGAGGTAGAGATTTGAGTTCTGTGACAAATTCCATAGGGAGCTTTGCCCGATGCCAGTGAACTTTTCTGGCTTTGAACAGAGTGCCTTGATTTGACCCACTGAGATGGTAATATCCAGCTGTGCTGCTTCATTTGTTTAAAAATATAATTTCAGTAATTTTTAACTGAAGTAAGTATGTTAGTCTCTGTAAGCTCAATTTTGAGCTGTTGTTAAAATGAGTTAGTAGGTTCTGTGGTAGACGTGTCTTCTGAGAAGCATTATAGTTGAGAAGCGTTATAGTTGAGCCTATCAATCATCTGCTTTGCTCAGGTGGAAGATGAGGCACTCACAAATACACACCTGCGAAATACAATATATGCAAAGACCATTTCTGTTTTAAACATGCAGAAAAGTCTAGCACACAGATTAGAAAACCTGATCTTAAGGGATGACGTGATTATTGGAAATTGCTGAGGAATGCAGTAGCCTGCTGAAACATCTCTCTTAAAGCATGTTTTACAGACATACGGGCATTCAGACACATGCCTGTATCCAGCAGCCTCTACGTTTCGCTGAGCCTGTATGTAAGGGAACAACAGCCTAACCCTCTAGACATCGTGCTCATAGAATGGTAATATAACATGCCCGAGTTTCATTCTTATTTTATTAGCTAGGTCACTCTAAAATTTTCAACTTTGATATTGGAGGAGTAATAAAAAACATCACTGAGCTTTTCTGCTTATGCTGAGCCAGTCAGTCGCGTGGTTAATGTGTGCTTTCTTGGTACCTCTAAAAAGCTTCTGATCACGTATAAAAATAACAAGATCTTTTTCCCAACTGCAGGCTTTGTGGTCTTTGCAACTCTTGTCGTCATTGTGTCTTTAATTCTAATATTTGTGGTGGGACCTCGCCATGGACAGACCAACATTCTTGTGTACATAACAATTTGCTCTGTAATTGGAGCATTATCAGTCTCCTGTGTAAAAGGTTTGGGCATCGCTATAAAGGAACTTTTTGCAGGAAAACCAGTGCTGAAACATCCCTTGTCATGGATTCTGCTGCTAAGCCTTATTGTCTGTGTGAGCACGCAGATCAACTATTTAAACAGGGCTCTGGATATATTCAACACGTCAATAGTGACTCCGATATATTATGTGTTCTTTACAACATCTGTTTTGACTTGTTCTGCTATCCTTTTCAAGGAGTGGCAACACATGGCGGCTGATGATATTATTGGCACCTTCAGTGGCTTTCTCACTATTATTGTGGGGATCTTTTTATTGCATGCCTTTAAAGATGTTAGTTTCACCCTAGCAAACTTGCCCGTCTCTTTACGGAAAGATGACAGAGCAGCAAACGGTACTTTGCTGAGCACGTATGACTGCTTTAATCATGATGAAGAAAGTTCTACCTGCGTAGGTGAAATACAATCCACTGAGAGTGTCTCTGCGAGGAGAAATGGAAGTCTGTCAGCCTTCTGAAAATATCTACATGTTAATTAAGAAAAGAACAATTCTGTAACTAACTCTGAGGTTTTTTTTTCTGCTGTGAAATGTCTGGGCTTGTCTAGAAACTGATGTACTTTTTAACAGTATGTGTAGACAATCGTTAAGTGTCTATTTTTAAGTTCGATTAGTTTGGACCAAGAACACTGGGATTTTAATTTGCCTTATTTTTACTTTAAAAATACTAAAATGACCTCAGACCACAGTTGGTTTTGTTGCTTAAGTTATGTGTAAATACTCTCATTTCACTCTTCTGTTTTAAAGATGTATTGCACTAATGACAATTTTATCAAAAATAAATTGCTTTATTTCTGCATTGGTGATAAACAGGTTGCAGTGAACCTGAATCCTTTCTACTTGTACCCTGAATGAATACTGAGTGACTGCAAACATACTAAAGCAGGAGCTGCACTAAGTGAAAGAGGAAAGGAAAAACTACAACCAAGCAAGGCTAAGATTACTTTGAACATACTGTTGTAGTAAAGCTATATGTTAAAAATGCAGGATTTGCAGTGCATCAAAAAAACCCTTACCAAGTCAAAGGAGCTGGATGGGAGGAACAGCAGTGCAGGAGCTTCTGCTCTGTTTGGTGGGGGTAGGGTGGTAGCTCTAAGTTTCATACCAGCTGAGGCAAGAAGTGAGATTAGAGCAGTTAATAGTAGCCAAAATAGCTGCTCTCTCTCTTCTGTGAAACAGGCCAGGTACTGTCCATTAAACTGTGCTCCTCTGTGCTGCTTTGTGCTGTTTGAGAGTTGTTTTTTTTTTCTGAGTTGTTACAGCTTCAATGCACAGAATTGCAGTTTTGTTTGTAGAAATGCAATCACAGGCTGTGACACTGCTGTAAGACGTAACACAAGGACAAAAAAAGCCCTATCACTTCATGAAATGGGGGGGTAGGAGAGGGAGGTAGTGTTTTTTTTTTTTTTTTTTTTAAAGAAGGTCACAAAAGCAGTCTTGCCAAGAGAAACTAAAAAAAAAATCCATGACCAAATTTTATAACAAACACTTACCATCGATTCAAAGGTTAAAATTATCTAGAACAGAGAGAACTAATTGCTACTACAATTTGTTGTCAGTTCAGGAGTATGTTCGTATTGTACAGGTAATTTAAGATTATCACATGTGCAGTTAGCACTGTGCACTTTCTTTAAATTCTGATTACAAGGGATTTGGACTTCTGCCCATTCTTAAGGGCTGTCAGGTCGATACTGTTCAGTTGTGGAAGCGCAGCCCTGCAAAGCATATGCAAGCACGAGCACCTGCTAGGTTGCCATTGGGCATATTAAGTGACAAGGGGAAAAGAATGCAGACTGTGACCACCTGGATGCTCCTCTCTTGAGTTGTTGTTGTTGTTTCTGGCTAGAAGCAGCTATAACAGGTAAAGCAGTTCATAAAAGTAGGTTACTCTATGCCTGTACCCAGAAGCTTAACTCTCTTAAAGTCTAATAGCCTGTTGAAAAAAGAGAAAAATAAGCCACCTCTGAAAACGTGAACTAAACACTCCATAGGACTACAATGTATCTGAAAGTCTCTGGGACTTACTGAAATGCATGAGAGGAAGAAAAGTGATCTTAAAATTCATTTTGAGACTAGTAATTTTAAAATATTAGAGACTACTACTCTTATTGCTGCCACTTAACATGTAAGGATTACAGTTTAATCACATGAAGCATCATTATTTTTAAATCGTTCTTAAAGCGGAAATCGGGCTTTATTAACAACCACTTACTTACTTACGTGCTACAGCAGTGTCAAGCTTATGCCTCAGGTATGTGAGCTATATCCCTAAACCAATAATAGTCACTTAATTAACTTGTTCATTTCATTAATCAAAGCCTGAAGCAGGGGAAATGTTTGGTTGAGCAGAAGTCATGTTGGCACAGTGCTGTGCAGAACAAAAAAAGAAACATTTCTTAAAACTGTGTGTCAAAGCAGTATCTTGTAAAAGATAATCGTGAAACAAAGTGGTGGTGTAACAAAGCATATGCAGTTCCCGCTTCCACCTAGGTCTCCCACCCTCAGTGGCAGCCTTGCACATGCTCTCCCCACAATAGAGAGAGACCCTTCCAGCAAGGCACCTCTCAAGCACAAACATCCTGGGAAAACTGGGATGAAAACTTGCTGAAAGTTTGCTTATACCTGCCTGGCAAGTCTCCGTGCTCTTATTTTGCTGAGGAATTTCATCTCATTTCTTTATTTCTTTTCTTTCCTCAGGATCATTTCTCACCTTGCCCCCCCCCCCCCCCCACACTCACCTCTCTCTCTTCTTCTTTTCCCCCCCTGCTTACATCCCATCAGACACCCCTTTCCCCTCATTACTGGACTTAATTCTGTTGGTTTAAAACCTCTGAAAAGAGCTGAGCAGGATAAAAGGACATGCTAAACCAAACCTTAAACTAGTATGAGGGAAGAGAAAAATCTGGTTCTCAAGGGGATGGCTTCTTAAGACAGTTTTGCACCATACTGGTTAGAACATATCCAGAAATCCCCATCTTGGCTAAAACTTGTAATTAACCATCTCTGTCTATTCCAGCCATCTTAACTGATGTTGGTTTTAGGTTGATCCTAACAGCTGAGCCACTAGATGACACCACTGAAAAAAAAATCCTGTACCATAGGCGGTCTTAAAGCTATTAGAATCTTACTATTTATGGCTGAACAGGTTGCTTTACAGTGCAAGTTTTACAGTTGCAAAGTTTTCCGAACAATTTTACTGATGCAGTGTTTGCATAATACAGTAAGCGTAATTAAATAAATATTCTCCATAAGTGAATCATGATTAATCTCATTAAAGCTTATGCACTTGGGACAGATTACACCTTTTCACTGTATTTAAGAATTTTCTAAACATAACTCCTTATCGCTTGTAAAGATGTAATTTGAAACACAAGTATGTATCTCCAACCAAAAGATAAGTTTGGTATAAGCTTTAATTAGGAAAAAGCAAATAGACCCCATTCTAACCTATTAAACTACTGCCTTTTAAAAAGCTCAGAATACTGTCAGTCACCTCCATGTTATATAACTTTAAAATGATCACTTTGATTAGGATTCATCTCCATAATTACTGATAACAGCAAAATAGTTTTGCAAAGAGGAAAACATAATTGACTACAAAAAATTATTCACAAAGCACCAGCAGCAGTTTTTTTTCTTTTTAATAAAGGGTAATTAAGCAATTAATGCTCTAATACAAACAATTAGGAATTGATTTCTAAAAAATTTTCTACAGAACCCAGTTTCTCATCCTCCCCAGCTATTATTTTGATAGCTGAGGAGGAAAAAAAAATGCCAGTCCAGTCTAAAATGGCCACCTCAGTACAGGAATGCAAAGAGATTTCAAAAACAAACCTTTTACATTTGCAGGCTTTTAATCAAAGTATATAAAATTTTAGTCTAGAAAAATAAGTATGGATTGTATACAGTTACTGTGCTTGGAGACTGCAGAGGGCAAAGCACCACTCAAATGGCACAGGTATACTGAAAAAGGCAGACAAGATTATTTCTTAAAATCGTTGGTTTGAGGGGTTTTTTTTTTTTTCCCCTTTCTCAAACGTTTAGCCTACCTAGGTGCAAAAATTATTGTAACTAAAATAAAAAGTGGAAAGTCTAGTTGCTGGCCAGGGACTGATGAATAGGTGGCTGGAAGCAGCGCACATGTTCCACAGGTGTACTCTCTCCATCACCAGACTTCAAATACTTGTCCAAAATAGCAATTATTTCATCGTTCAGAATCTGGAACTTGCGAATTCTTTCAACCATTTTCTTCAAAGGCTGCAAACATCAAAAAAACAGATACCTAGGAATTAATTTTAGAGAAAAAAAAGCCCTAGACAAAAAAAAAAAAGCACCAAATGCTATCACCTCACATCTCACAATGTTGTGTTTCCCTTCCACTGCTAATCTAGTGAAAATCCAGTGTAAAAACCCAATGAGTATTTTGGTTCTTTCCATCTCATATACATATATATATATATGGAAAGTGTTAAGAAAATCCCCTATATCAAGGAAATTAAAATTGTAACTGTCCCGTCTTCAAACTACAGCACTAACGCTTCAGGTTTTCTTTCTTAAAAACCCTGGTGCTTTAATTTTCAACTCTTCATTCTATAAAGTGACTGTTAGAGCTACAGTGCAGCTGAATACAAACAGGTCCTTTTTTTTGTTACTACAGTGAATATAGAACAGATGTTTTCAACATACCACATTCTTTATGACCTCATCTTTGCCATCATGCTTCTGGACCTTCAACAAGTGGTAGCAGAAATCCAGCACATCAAAGCGACGCTGTTGCCCCAAAAGCACGATGATCATACACCCAGCCCAGTGCAAGCCATCCCCAAAGCACTGCCTGCAAGAGAAAACAGACCACGAGAAGTGCATATTTCACCTACGTTTTTCAAAAGTGTATCTATAGGAAATGTTGAATACATCAGCTATTATGCTAAAATACATATATGTTGCTCTAGAATATGTTAGACGTTAATCTGTAAAATACTCCAGTGAAATCTCCAGTAAATGAAGTTCTCTCTCTGCAGATACTACAAGGGCTGCAAATAGATGCTTTAAAAAAAAAAAAAAAAGTTCCCCCCACCCAATTTTATATGATTTACAGTTACTCCAAAAATATTTACTCCCCTTTGTTTTCTTTTGTAATGGTAATGCTGTTGGAGACTAAAGTAGGAATTCATCACCACTCTTTTGGGCTGCAGAGATGAAAGGAAACACAAGTCCTACATTGTCTCCATAACTGGGCAGTGAGAAACACATGACAGCTCAATGTTTTTTCAAAACTAAGGATATTACTAAAAACCAACAAAACTTAGATGTCAGTATGATACGGTGCTCATTCTTGTTCTTAATTCCCAGAAGAAAATACTTGTTATAAATACGTGCCCATATGTTCAGCATCTGGAATGGTATCACTACCATTGAGACACACGTGCTAGGACCTTTTTTTTCAAGGGATCGTTTATTATACACTGGAAATATTGTCTTTAAACATGCAATAGTATTTGTGTTCAGACATTAAGAGCCCCTCCCACTGATGGTGGCACTTTTCCCTCATGTTTGCAGTAAGTTATTGCAGATATAGGGACAAACGCCTCCTCTACTATGTTTTGTGGCCCCCTTCCGGTTACAAGAAAAAAAACACCGAAAGGGTGCTGCACGCTGGAGCATCATTGGCAGCCGACAATACGTACTCCACGGTGAACTCATGCGTCCCCACAGGGATGCAGTAGACGAACTGCATTGCGCTCCAGAGGCGGTGGAACTCCACGCACTCATCCACATGCATCACCCCGTTGCTGGGCAGGGGCCCGCGCCAGATCGGGTCATCCAGAAAGGATCGGATCCTCGTCAAGATAACCTCAAACATGGACAGCCCACAGCAGAGGCGCTCTTTCGTCAGCAAATCCCCTTCCCTTGCGATTGCAATTTGCTAAGAATGAGAGAAAAGAGAAAGCGTAAAATCTTGAAACGCTGGTCATGCAAAGCACGCTTTCTATTTCCAGGCCTTCTTCCAGATCGAGTTCTTAAAAGGGACCCCTCTGAGCTAATAAATCAGATAGAAGGAGAACACCACAGCACAGTTTACCTAGGTGGTCCTGCTCCCATACTGCTCTCGGCTTTGGAGCACACTGATCGGAAAGCGGAACGCACGAGCTGCTCAAACGTGGTATGAAAATAGCCACTTGACCAGAAGATTTTATTTTTCAAAAGACAAAAAGCATCCCATACGTTTTGCAGTTTCACTGATTTTATTCCAGGAGAAATTTCTTCTGGGTTTAAGTGAAGTCAGATGCCACTAGTTCTGAGTCCTCTGGATTTAGTTCAGTGGGAGAAAAATTCAGAAAAAATTATAAACCACTTTTCCAGGAGATAGTTTGGCCATT